GTAGCTTTGCACCTTTCCTGGAACTCACTCTGTAGCCCAGGCTGGCCTCGAACTCACAGAGATCCGCCTGCCTCTGCCTCCCGAGTGCTAGGATTAAAGGCATGTGCCACCACCGCCCGGCAGTTTCCCTAATTTTTTAATGTGAAGATCTTAAGGCATCAAAATATTTTATATGTCACCATACTATACCTTTTGGACTTTAGGTATGCTGTTGATCAAGAAAATAAAGTTCCTCCAGGCATGGAGTCTTGTGTCTGTAATCTTAATACCTGGAAGGCTTGAGGTTAGGAGAATTATGAAATCAGGCAAGTCTAGGCTACGTAGAAAGAAAGGGAGGGGAGAGGAGAGAAAGCAGAGTAAAGTCAAGGCTAAGGGTAGTCAGTATAGGGTGGTTGTCTGGAAGGCATCAGGCTATGGGGTTTGGTCCCTGGTACCATGGAAGTAAGGCAGTCAGAAGCTGTGTGTATCTATACGGAATTCTTCTGGAGTGGGGCCACCGATGAGGCAGGATGTTGCTATGTATAGCTGGCTGGCCTCAAACTCCTAGCAGTCCTCCTGTCTCAGAACTCAGAGTACTAGGACTGTAGGCCTACCACCACCACACCTGGCTGGAGTTTGCATCACACATTTGCTTAGGGAGATATGAATTAGCAGCTAGTCTGTGCCAGCCTGTGTACATTGAACCACATAATTGAATTTTTTACAAATAGAGTGAAAAGGTCCACTTTTTCAGGCATGACATTTTTATTCATGGAAATTTTCTGTGGCCATAGACAATAGCAGTGGGGGATCGGGCACTGTTTATTGTAAGGTTCTGTAGTCTTCCTCATCCAGATTTTCCTTAATGTGAAGGTGGAGCCTGCTTACCCTGTTGCTTTTAAGATGTTCTGACTGTCTAGGAAGGAATGGTCCAGAATTTGAACAGATACCTGTGAGATTCTCTGACCCTTCACTTGTGCTTTTAACGTCAGAACATACGGTGGGTTGATCATAAGACTGGGAGAGGAAATCGGAGAGGAAAAGTACAGCTGCTGGCCACTTAGTGAGGCTAACAGGTGATGCATGTTCTGTAGAAGGAAACTGCTCCGTTTTCATGAAGTGTGGTGTGTGTCTAAATGATGCAGTATGTGCACTGGGAAGTTTGGGACCGACCAGCTGTTTCAGAAGAAGCTGGTTTTTGTGAAGTAAGATAAATTAAGCCGGCCGGGCGGTGGTGGCGCATGCCTTTAATCCCAGCACTCGGGAGGCAGAGCCAGGCGGATCTCTGTGAATTCGAGGCCAACCTGGGCTACCAAGTGAGCCCAGGAAAGGCGCAAAGCTACGCAGAGAAACCCTGTCTCGAAAAACCAAAAAAAAAAAAAAAGATAAATTAAGCCTAAGAAGTTAATTTACAAATGTTGTATTGCTGTAATTTAAAAAAAATGCTTGTTTCCATATGTAGTTTAATATCAGGGTTCTAAGAATTAGTATTTAGTTTTTATTGGTAAGCTTTCAAACAGCTGATGAGCTTTTGGTATAAAGCTAATAAATGAGTTTTCTGTGTTGATTTTTTAAAGACTCACTAATGACACTCTTTTCTTCCCTACTTGAAGATGATGACAGAGATGAGCGTGCATCTAAAGCTCGAAGAGTGGAGCCAGAAGCAGCCAAGAAGAAGAAGTAGAGAGGCAGTGGCGGCGAGAACACTGGGCTGCGGAGCTCCTGAGATGTGTCGTTGGCTGGAGTGTTTGCTCTTGTGGTTCTCATGACAGACATCTCCATGAGAGTATTTATGTTAATGAACTAACAAGTATCGCCTCAAGACTTTCCACTGTAGAACTGAGGTTTTTATTTAAAACCTGTATGTATTTACAACTCTAATGGTGACCTGTGATTGTGAACTGACAGTACTTGGAAGCATTCTGGCTATCACAGAATTGGTGACAGGCTTTGAGAGTTTTGTCACATGGACATGCCAATGTTCTTTGGACCTTTTATAAAGGAATCTATTTTTAAAGTAAATATATTGTAATGTACTGTGAACTTGTGGGTGCTCTTCATTAGTGTCTGTACAGTGTAAATAGATGATCATGGAAATAAAATTACTTCCGTCAACATTGCTATTATTGTATGCCACTAACAAGTGTTTGTAACAAGCAGCCTGTTTGCCCTGTGACCTTTTAATTCACGGTAGGGATTAGCATGTAGGGAGAGCCTCCCGTGTTTAGGTGCCTTGTGCATACTTCTCTCCAATGGTCCTGTAAAGTAGACGTTAGTATCCTATTTTGTAATGAAGAGAGCTAGAAGAACTGGACAGGGCTACACAGCCAGTGAGTGGAGACTAGCAGATTCACTCAGGACTCTGACTCCAGAGTCAGATTAAACTACCTGACCTCTCAGCAGACTTCAGGCATTTTCCAAAAACATTATCTCTTCCACATACACTTCTGTTGTTAGGGGAGGTCTTTTCCTGCCCTGGTTATCAGCTGCACTTAACATACCATACATGCCTTATAGTGTGATTATTTTTTCATCTCCTCATTAAATATGCTGAAGATAGGCTCTTCTATGAAAGATTACCAGATTCAGCAAAGAAGAGCATGTCCGGTTAAATTTGAGTCTGAGTATATGTGATATAAGACACATTAAAAATTCATCTGAAATTCCAATTTAACTGAGCACCTTGTTTATTTTGTGGGCTGGGGGTGAAGCCCAAGTCTTGTCCATGCTAGGTGAATGCTTTGGCGGCTGCTGCGCTGCATGCTTTCTTTGGCCAGCTCCTGTCAATGCTCTGTGTACAGCAAGCAGTGCAAAACGAATCTCTAGTCTGTCTCCTTCCTGGGCCCTTTATTCCCTGGGTCCTCCTCCAGCTTCGCTAGACTAGCATACTCGATTCTCTTTGCCTCAGGCTTGTATATCCAGCTCTATCTATCTCCACTTGTCTCAAAGGCCCCGCATGCTGTGTCAAAAACCACCTCCCACAATTCGTTTCTGCCCCATGCTGTACCATCTCATAGGTCTGGTGGAAACATCCTCCCATTTCTATGATGTTCTCACACAGCTCTTCATCCAGCTGCAAGAGATGGTTTACAGTTCCCAGATGTGCTGTTCAGATGCATCTTTATGTTCTGCTTTATACCCTTTGCTTGGTCTGGCTCTTCTCCGGAGACCTAGGCGACTCTCCCAGAGTTCAAGTGTTCCCTCCTTCATGTTCTTGGATTCATTTCTATCTGCCCACTACCTCACTCCTCAATACCAAGTTACTGTGGGTCAGGCTTTGTGCTGTGTTCTTCACGAGATGCACAAACATGTTTAACCTGGTAAGAGGGATTATGACTACTTCCCAAGGGAAGAAAATGCGGTACAGAGACTAATTTACATGGGTGGAGGAGATAGCCCAGTGGGTTTAGTAAACTGTAAACTTGACAACCCAGGGTTCAATCCCTAAAACCCACAAGAACCAGTTCCCACAATTGTCCTCCAGTCTACACTCATATGTGCGCCCCACCCCATACACATACAAATGAATAGGTTTTTTTTTTATGTTTAAAAAGGGGGGGGGGCAGTCACATCAACATTTAAATCTTTTAAAGATTTAAAAATAAAAAGCAAAAAGCAGTTTATTCAAGGGAGACTCGGGCAGTGCGGCCCCAGGGCCAGAGCACTCACTACACTGAGAAGTGAAGGCCAGAAGTCACCTGTAACTAGTTTACTCATGTGTATTTGGTTCATATAACTAAGGAATTAAAGCAGGGCAGAAGTGATAGCTCAGCAGTTAAAGGCACTGGCTGATCTTCCAGAGGACCCAGGTTCAATTCCCAGCACCCACATGGTAGCTCACAACTGTCTCCAGTCACGGGGATCTGACCCTCACACCAATGCATATAAAATAAATCAATTTTTTTAAATTAACAAATCCAAAACTGACCACAGGAGCCATATTGCAGTATTGATCTAATGTGCCGGAAGCCTCTCTCAGATGGACCAGTTTAACACAAAGTCAACATGCAAATGACTTAGGAAAGTTAATGCACATTTCAAGGACTTAGGCTTTTCATTTTAAAGATCTTTAGGGGACTGGAGAGATGGCTCAGTGGTTAAGAGCACTGACTGCTCTTCCAGAGGACCTGGGTTCAATTCCCAGCATTCACATGGCAGCTCCCAACTGTCTGTAACTCCAGTTCCAGGGGATCTGACACATATACACAGGGAAAACACCAATGCACTTAAAATAAATTAAAAAAAAAAAAAAACTTTAACTAGAGCCTTAAAGCAGCAAGTCTGAGACTATATCCTCCTTCCAATAACAGTTTTCAAGTGTAGGGATGTAGTTCAGTAGTGCTTATTTGATGTGTACAAAGTCTACAAGACCCTGGGTTCAATCTCTACCACAGACAGACAGACAGACAGACGATGTGAATATGCATATCCAGCATTTCACGTATTCGTGTATGGCAGTGCTGGGGATCAGACCCAGGGCTGACACGTGGATTGCCACTATCCCTTATTTTGTCTTGCAAAGTCAAAGGTCTCCAGGCAACCACAACCTCTCCCTGAAAGTCTGCTGGTATTCTTTTCCTTTCTAATTAGGGCTTGAGTTTAAAGTCGTAGCACCTAGACACCAGTACCCACAGGATGTGTGAGGGCAGCCTTCCCACAGCTGGTATTGTCTTGGGTGTGAGCATCACCTCTCTCTTTTAGGTTCATAAGATGACAGGCTTACAACCCAGACTTGAAATGTCTGTAGTATTCTGGTACCCTGGGGCTGAAACTCCCCTCTCCGGCCCTGTGTTTAACGTTTCCTGAAAAAGGAATAGAAACAGGATTTGATGCACAACGTTGAAGAAAGAGGCGAGCTGTTTTCCTAGCATAATTACCTGCCTCTGCTTCTAAAGGGGACTCAGCTCCCAGCAACCCTCTCTGGCATGCCTTGGAGTCTGTATTCACATTTTAAATTTAGAATCCCACGGGAAAGTGCCATGGGATAACCGAAGAATCACTTCCAACTAAGGAAGTGATCCTGCCAGCAAAGGACAATCACACACACACACACACACACACACACACACACACACACACACACACACACACACACACACACACACAC